GTAGGCTGATGACGCGTCCTGTGGCAACTCTACACTCTTACACTGGTCTGTCGGGTTGATAATGGAAATAATACATTTAATTCAATACATGTATCGTACTGTATTTAATATGATTAACAATAGTGTGTTCAAACAAAATATTTAATTAGATTGATTTTTTCCCCCATTTTCCATTATCAACCCGACAGACCAGTGTGAGAGTGGCCACAGGACGCGTCAGCAGCCTACGTCATCAGCCTACGTCAGCAGCCTACGTCATCAGCCTACGTCAGCAGCCTACGTCAGCAGCCTACGTCAGCAGCCTACGTCAGCAGCCTACGTCAGCAGCCTACGTCATCAGCCTACGTCAGCAGCCTACGTCATCAGCCTACGTCATCAGCCTACGTCAGCAGCCTACGTCAGCAGCCTACGTCAGCAGCCTACGTCATCAGCCTACGTCAGCAGCCTACGTCAGCAGCCTACGTCATCAGCCTACGTCATCAGCCTACGTCATCAGCCTACGTCAGCAGCCTACGTCAGCAGCCTACGTCATCAGCCTACGTCATCAGCCTACGTCAGCAGCCTACGTCAGCAGCCTACGTCAGCAGCCTACGTCATCAGCCTACGTCAGCAGCCTACGTCAGCAGCCTACGTCATCAGCCTACGTCAGCAGCCTACGTCAGCAGCCTACGTCATCAGCCTACGTCAGCAGCCTACGTCATCAGCCTACGTCAGCAGCCTACGTCATCAGCCTACGTCAGCAGCCTACGTCATCAGCCTACGTCAGCAGCCGCGGACTGCTATGAAAACATTAGCTTTGTGGTTTCACAGGCGCAGTTGACTGCTTAAACTAAACTTTGCACAAAACTTTGACTCTTAAAACCCACATGTGACAAAACGGAACCATCAACATCTCGCCTCAAATTGCATTAAAAGTGACATTCGTGTCTTAATTCGTTCGTATTTTAACTTTTAAAGAAATTCACGGTCCGCCATCTTGGTTTGCTTCGGCTGCCGTGAGACGCGCATGCGCAGGTTTGCATTACATCATAAACAGCTGAGGCAGTGCATCTCTTCAAGGCAGTGTATCTCAGCGTTACACCGGGGCCAGACCGGGGTCAAACCGGGTCGGACCAGTTCCTAAAGTGGGAGTGGACTTTTCAACGAGGCCAAGTGAGGCAGGGCTCGAAGGTTGAAAACTCACAGTAAAAACCTGGACTCCGTAGACTGTTCATAGATGGACCATGCTAACCCGCTAGCTCCATGACGCACAGACCACTGTGTCCCCCAGGAATGAAAGCATCAACTAGGATTGAAACAACGAAATTAAAACATAAAAGCCAGGACCATTAAGAGCAATAAATCACCAATTTTAAAGTGTGGCACGGACAGTTACGGAGATAGAGTTAGAGGAGTTTACGTTTACAAGGAAGTCAATAGGAGCTAGCGTGATAGCATTGTCCATCTGTACACAGTCTGTGTTAGCATTAGCATCTGTATACAGTCTGTGTTAGCATTAGCATCTGTATACAGTCTGTGTTAGCATTAGCATCTGTATACAGTCTGTGTTAGCATTAGCATCTGTATACAGTCTGTGTTAGCATTAGCATCTGTATACAGTCTGTGTTAGCATTAGCATCTGTATACAGTCTGTGTTAGCATTAGCATCTGTATACAGTCTGTGTTAGCATTAGCATCTGTATACAGTCTGTGTTAGCATTAGCATCTGTATACAGTCTGTGTTAGCATTAGCATCTGTATACAGTCTGTGTTAGCATTAGCATCTGTATACAGTCTGTGTTAGCATTAGCATCTGTATACAGTCTGTGTTAGCATTAGCATCTGTATACAGTCTGTGTTAGCATTAGCATCTGTATACAGTCTGTGTTAGCATTAGCATCTGTATACAGTCTGTGTTAGCATTAGCATCTGTATACAGTCTGTGTTAGCATTAGCATCTGTATACAGTCTGTGTTAGCATTAGCATCTGTATACAGTCTGTGTTAGCATTAGCATCTGTACATGAGGTGACATGTGTTTGTGGGAGAGCGTCAGAACAACCTTCTCTGTCCTCCCTGTTCTCTGCGTTAATAAGATGTTGTGTTGTAGCTTCCTCCCACACACAGGGATTTAAGTGACTTCATTTAAAGCTGGGGTACCTAACTTTCAAACTACAAACCACAAGTAAGTAAGTAATGTTTATTTAGCGCATTTTACAGACCAAGTCCATGTCACCGGTCCCTCGCTCTCACTCCAGTATCCTGGACTCGGTCTCATCTTTGATCAGCTTTTTCACACTGAAAAGTGTAAAAAATAGGACCACCGTCTCTCAGCCAATCAGCTCTCAGCCAATCAGCTCTCAGCCAATCAGCTCTCAGCCAATCAGCTCTCAGCCAATCAGCTCTCAGCCAATCAGCTCTCAGCCAATCAGCTCTCAGCCAATCAGCTCTCAGCCAATCAGCCCTCAGCCAATCAGCTCTCAGCCAATCAGCTCTCAGCCAATCAGCTCTCAGCCAATCAGCTCTCAGCCAATCAGCTCTCAGCCAATCTGTGAAAAATGTGCCTATCTTTTCCAAGTGCTCAAAATACTTTAAAGAGGTCGGGAGAGGAGTGGGTGAAATAAGCACAGGTACAGAGGGTAGCACAGGTGAAATAAGCACAGGTACAGAGGGTAGTACAGGTGAAATAAGCACAGGTACAGAGGGTAGCACAGGTGAAATAAGCACAGGTACAGAGGGTAGCACAGGTGAAATAAGCACAGGTACAGAGGGTAGTACAGGTGAAATAAGCACAGGTACAGAGGGTAGTACAGGTGATATAAGCACAGGTACAGAGGGTAGTACAGGTGAAATAAGCACAGGTACAGAGGGTAGTACAGGTGAAATAAGCACAGGTACAGAGGGTAGTACAGGTGAAATAAGCACAGGTACAGAGGGTAGTACAGGTGAAATAAGCACAGGTACAGAGGGTAGTACAGGTGAAATAAGCACAGGTACAGAGGGTAGTACAGGTGATATAAGCACAGGTACAGAGGGTAGTACAGGTGAAATAAGCACAGGTACAGAGGGGTAGCACAGGTAGCAAGGGTAGACAGGTGAAAAGCACAGGTACAGAGGGTAGTACAGGTGAAATAAGCACAGGTACAGAGGGTACAGGTGACAGCACGACGAGGTAGAAGGTGAATAAGCACAGGTACAGAGGGTAGTACAGGTGAAATAAGCACAGGTACAGAGGTAGACAGGTGAATAAGCACAGGGGTACAGGTACAGGGGTAGTACAGGTGAAATAAGCACAGTACAGAGGTAAGGTACACAGAGGGTAGTACAGGTGAAATAAGCACAGGTACAGAGGGTAGTACAGGTGAATAAGCACAGTACAGGGTAGTACAGGTGAAATAAGCACAGGTACAGAGGGTAGCACAGGTGAAATAAGCACAGGTACAGAGGGTAGCACAGGTGAAATAAGCACAGGTACAGAGGGTAGTACAGGTGAAATAAGCACAGGTACAGAGGGTAGCACAGGTGAAATAAGCACAGGTACAGAGGGTAGCACAGGTGAAATAAGCACAGGTACAGAGGGTAGCACAGGTGAAATAAGCACAGGTACAGAGGGTAGCACAGGTGAAATAAGCACAGGTACAGAGGGTAGTACAGGTGATATAAGCACAGGTACAGAGGGTAGTACAGGTGAAATAAGCACAGGTACAGAGGGTAGTACAGGTGAAATAAGCACAGGTACAGAGGGTAGTACAGGTGAAATAAGCACAGGTACAGAGGGTAGACACAGGTGAAATAAGCACAGGTACAGAGGGTAGTACAGGTGAAATAAGCACAGGTACAGAGGGTAGCACAGGTGAAATAAGCACAGGTACAGAGGGTAGTACAGGTGAAATAAGCACAGGTACAGAGGGTAGTACAGGTGAAATAAGCACAGGTACAGAGGGTAGTACAGGTGAAATAAGCACAGGTACAGAGGGTAGTACAGGTGAAATAAGCACAGGTACAGAGGGTAGTACAGGTGATATAAGCACAGGTACAGAGGGTAGTACAGGTGAAATAAGCACAGGTACAGAGGGTAGTACAGGTGAAATAAGCACAGGTACAGAGGGTAGTACAGGTGAAATAAGCACAGGTACAGAGGGTAGTACAGGTGATATAAGCTCGAGCTTTTCCTCGGGACGTTCATGCAGCGACCAATCAGAGAGCTGCGAAGTGTGACATCACAGAGTGTGTGACATCACAGAGTGTGTGACATCACAGAGAGTGACATCATGACACAAACAGTCTAAAATAGAATCTGGAGGAAACATAAATATTTCAGATTTATCCAGAGCTGGGGCTGGTCTGAAGCCTCAGGACAGAGCTCTGTTATTCCTGGAGCGGGTTCTTTAAATAGACACACAGCTGTTTGACCTCAACACAACCCTCTGAACACACACACACACAGAGACACACACACACACACACACACAGAGACACACACACACACACATACACAGACAAACGTAGAAACACATTTCACTACTGCTGTCTCCCTGTTTGTAAACAAGCGAAGGCGACCAGAGAGAGACAGAGCGAGAGACCCTCTCTGGTCTCTCTCTGGTCTCTCTCTCCGGTCTCTCTCTGGTCTCTCTCTCTGGTCTCTCTCTCTGGTCTCTCTCTCCGGTCTCTCTCTGGTCTCTCTCTGGTCTCTCTCTGGTCTCTCTCTGGTCTCTCTCTGGTCTCTCTATACCAGAAAGGCACCAACAAACACAGCTACTATAAAGACACAGAGAAACCCACATGGTTCTGGTCTTTCTAGCTTGTTTCTTTAACTGTGAAGTAAAATCTTTCTTGGTTTGAAATTAGACTTTTAACGACCCCCAAAGACCCCCCACGTGTCATCACAGACCCCCCACATGTCATGACAGACCCCCCACATGTCATCACAGACCCCCCACATGTCATCACAGACCCCCCACATGTCATCACAGACCCCCCACGTGTCATCACAGACCCCCACGTGTCATGACAGACCCCCACATGTCATCACAGACCCCCCACATGTCATCACAGACCCCCCACATGTCATCACAGACCCCCACGTGTCATCACAGACCCCCACGTGTCATCACAGACCCCCCACGTGTCATCACAGACCCCCCACGTGTCATCACAGACCCCCACGTGTCATCACAGACCCCCCACGTGTCATCACAGACCCCCCACGTGTCATCACAGACCCCCCACGTGTCATCACAGACCCCCACGTGTCATCACAGACCCCCCACGTGTCATCACAGACCCCCACGTGTCATCACAGACCCCCCACGTGTCATCACAGACCCCCACGTGTCATCACAGACCCCCCACATGTCATCACAGACCCCCACATGTCATCACAGACCCCCACGTGTCATGACAGACCCCCCACGTGTCATCACAGACCCCCCACGTGTCATCACAGACCCCCCACGTGTCATCACAGACCCCCCACGTGTCATCACAGACCCCCACATGTCATCACAGACCCCCCACGTGTCATCACAGACCCCCACGTGTCATGACAGACCCCCCACATGTCATCACAGACCCCCACATGTCATCACAGACCCCCACGTGTCATGACAGACCCCCCACGTGTCATCACAGACCCCCCACGTGTCATCACAGACCCCCACATGTCATCACAGACCCCCCACGTGTCATCACAGACCCCCACGTGTCATCACAGACCCCCCACGTGTCATCACAGACCCCCCACGTCTGTGACCTGCCGCGGCGGCCATCTTGGATCCGCCCGAAACGGGAGCTTCTGAAATGCTCCTCTTTTATTGGACCCACATCTGGTCTTCACACTCTTTAATACAAGTTGGACACACATCAGACTCACAAGGGACCATGTGGGAGTGTCCTGCCCCCAGGGTCTCCCATCACAGTCCTAACCAGGCCCTCCCCTGCTGAGCACATCCCTTTAAACTTGATGAGTAGATGTGTTTACGACGCAGCCAATCACAGATACCACTTTTTAACGAGCAACAAACTGAGACAGAGGCGCAAACTGCGAAACACGTTTGCTAACCGCTAACCGCTAACCGCTAACAGCTTTAACGACAGCACTCTGTCTTTACAGGGAGCTCCATAGCTGGAGATTTTCTTAGTCTCAGAGAGGAGCTGGAAAGGGCCTGGAGGGTAAAGGTCACAGTAGTGCCCGTGGTGATCGGTGCACTCGGGGCAGTGACCCCGAAGCTAGAAGAGGTTACAGCGGATCCCTGGAACAACCTCGGACATCTGGGTCCAGAAATGTGCAGTGCTAGGAACAGCAAAGATACTGAACCCTCAGGCTCCCAGGCCTCTGGTAGAGGACCCGAGCTTAGAGAGGGATAACCGCCCACGGATAGAGAGGGATAACCACCCACGGATAGAGAGAGATAACTGCCCACGGATAGAGAGGGATAACCACCCACAGATAGAGAGGGATAACCGCCCACAGATAGAGAGGGATAACCACCCACGGATAGAGAGGGATAACTGCCCACAGATAGAGAGGGATAACCGCCCACGGATAGAGAGGGATAACTGCCCACGGATAGAGAGGGATAACTGCCCACGGATAGAGAGGGATAACCACCCACAGATAGAGAGGGATAACCGCCCACAGATAGAGAGGGCTGCTCTCTCTCTGGTCTCTCTCTGGTCTCTCTCTGGTCTCTCCCTGGTCTCTCTCTGCTCTCTCTCTGGTCTCTCTCTGCTCTCTCTCTGCTCTCTCTCTGCTCTCTCTCTGGTCTCTCCCTGGTCTCTCCCTGGTCTCTCTCTGGCCTCTCTCTGGTCTCTCCCTGGTCTCTCTCTGGCCTCTCTCTGGCCTCTCTCTGCTCTCTCTCTGGTCTCTCTCTGCTCTCTCTCTGCTCTCTCTCTGCTCTCTCTCTGGTCTCTCTCTGGTCTCTCTCTGGCCTCTCTCTGGCCTCTCTCTGGTCTCTCTCTGGTCTCTCTCTGGTCTCTCTCTGGTCTCTCTCTCTCTGGTCTCTCTCTGGTCCCTCTCTGGTCCCTCTCTGGTCCCTCTCTGGTCCCTCTCTGGTCTCTCACTGGCCTCTCTCTGGCCTCTCTCTGGTCTCTCTCTGGTCTCTCTCTCTCTGGTCTCTCTCTGGTCTCTCTCTGGTCCCTCTCTGGTCCCTCTCTGGTCCCTCTCTGGTCCCTCTCTGGCCTCTCTCTGGCCTCTCTCTGGTCTCTCTCTGGTCTCTCTCTGGTCTCTCTCTGGTCTCTCTCTGGTCTCTCTCTGGTCTCTCTCTGGTCTCTCTCTGGTCTCTCTCTCTGGTCTCTCTCTCTCTCTCTGGTCTCTCTCTCTGGTCTCTCTCTCTGGTCTCTCTCTCTGGTGTCTCTCTCTGGTCCCTCTCTGGTCCCTCTCTGGTCTCTCTCTGGTCTCTCTCTGGTCTCTCTCTGGTCTCTCTCTGGTCTCTCTCTGGTCTCTCTCTGGTCTCTCTCTGGTCTCTCTCTGGTCTCTCTCTGGTCTCTCTCTGGTCTCTCTCTGGCCTCTCTCTGGCCTCTCTCTGGTCTCTCTTTTTAACTTTTCTGGCAAAAAATTCAGGCATGTGAATTAGCTTGAGTTTGTGTTTTGAAAGTTTTGTGCTCCAACTCTGATAAAACATATATCTATTATGACTAAAACAAAATAATCAAAGTATAAAACACAATATTTCTTCTTTAAACAATTATTTGGCCAAACGTCGCGTCACTAACTTGGACCAATCCCTGCGTTGGCGTTTTACCTGCGCAGGAGCGATGTGCGCGCGCGTCACGTATCCGTGCACGTGCTGGATCCGCGACAGCTGCCTCTCGGCCACCTGCACTAGCTCCGCCCCCCGGAGCTCGCCCGGCCTCCCCGCAGACCCGACCCGTCTCAGAGACCGGGTGCGGCCCAGCGTCCCGCCGTCCCAGCCTCCAGCGCACTCGCCCACGCCGCCGTCACGTCCAAGAGTGCTCGGCTCGATCACGTACGGGCCGCCGAAGCGCTCGTCGTCCTCCGCGGGTCTGCCGTAGGGTCCCGGCGAGTGCAGGGGGTGCTCCAGGTGCTGCGGGCCCATGGGGTGCTGGGGGCAGGGCGGGTGGTGGTGCAGGTGCGGGCGCAGTCTCGGGGATGTACCGTCGTCCTCGTGGTAGCGGTACTTCTGCGGTGGTTTATGACGGGACGACGGGGTTTGAGGAAGGAGGAAAGAGGAAGGAGGAAGGAGGAAGGAGGAAGGAGGAAAGAGGAAGGAGGAAGGAGGAAGGAGGAAAGAGGAAAGAGGAAAGAGGAAGGAGGAAGGAGGAAGGAGGAAAGAGGAAAGAGGAAAGAGGAAAGAGGAAAGAGGAAGGAGGAAAGAGGAAGGAGGAAGGAGGAAGGAGGAAGGAGGAAGGAGGAAAGAGGAAAGAGGAAAGAGGAAGGAGGAAGGAGGAAAGAGGAAGGAGGAAAGAGGAAGGAGGAAGGAGTAAGGAGTAAGGAGGAAAGAGGAAAGAGGAAGGAGGAAGGAGGAAGGAGGAAGGAGGAAGGAGGAAAGAGGAAGGAGGAAGGAGGAAAGAGGAAAGAGGAAAGAGGAAGGAGGAAAGAGGAAAGAGGAAAGAGGAAGGAGGAAGGAGGAAGGAGGAAAGAGGAAAGAGGAAGGAGGAAAGAGGAAAGAGGAAAGAGGAAAGAGGAAGGAGGAAGGAGGAAGGAGGAAAGAGGAAGGAGGAAAGAGGAAAGAGGAAAGAGGAAGGAGGAAGGAGGAAGGAGGAAGGAGGAAGGAGGAAAGAGGAAAGAGGAAAGAGGAAAGAGGAAAGAGGAAAGAGGAAGGAGGAAAGAGGAAGGAGGAAAGAGGAAAGAGGAAAGAGGAAGGAGGAAACAGGAAAGAGGAAAGAGGAAAGAGGAAAGAGGAAAGAGGAAGGAGGAAGGAGGAAAGAGGAAGGAGGAAAGAGGAAAGAGGAAAGAGGAAGGAGGAAGGAGGAAGGAGGAAGGAGGAAGGAGGAAAGAGGAAAGAGGAAAGAGGAAAGAGGAAAGAGGAAAGAGGAAGGAGGAAAGAGGAAGGAGGAAAGAGGAAAGAGGAAAGAGGAAGGAGGAAACAGGAAAGAGGAAAGAGGAAAGAGGAAAGAGGAAAGAGGAAGGAGGAAGGAGGAAAGAGGAAAGAGGAAAGAGGAAAGAGGAAGGAGGATAGAGGAAAGAGGAAAGAGGAAAGAGGAAGGAGGAAAGAGGAAGGAGGAAACAGGAAAGAGGAAAGAGGCAGGAGGAAAGAGGAAAGAGGAAAGAGGAAGGAGGAAACAGGAAAGAGGAAAAAGGAAAGAGGAAGGAGGAAAGAGGAAAGAGGAAAGAGGAAAGAGGAAGGAGGAAACAGGAAAGAGGAAGGAGGAAAGAGGAAGGAGGAAACAGGAAACAGGAAAGAGGAAGGAGGAAACAGGAAACAGGAAAGAGGAAGGAGGAAACAGGAAAGAGGAAGGAGGAAAGAGGAAAGAGGAAGGAGGAAACAGGAAAGAGGAAGGAGGAAAGAGGAAAGAGGAAACAGGAAAGAGGAAAGAGGAAGGAGGAAAGAGGAAACAGGAAGGAGGAAAGAGGAAGGAGGAAAGAGGAAAGAGGAAGGAGGAAGGAGGAAACAGGAAAGAGGAAGGAGGAAAGAGGAAGGAGGAAACAGGAAACAGGAAAGAGGAAGGAGGAAAGAGGAAAGAGGAAAGAGGAAAGAGGAAAGAGGAAAGAGGAAGGAGGAAGGAGGAAAGAAAAACCAAAGAGAAAAGAAGAAAGAAAAGAGGTGTTAGTTCAAAGGGAGGAAAACAGCAGAAGCGAACTGTCATCAGAGCTGTTAAAAGATTTGTCCAGTTTATTCAATTCAATGTATTTTTGTATCGTCCTAAATCTCAACAGTCGTTATGTCTGAGGACTGTACAAAAATGTGGATTTGCCAACAACAGATCAGAGAATCAAACAGCTCTAACCAGTGGGGGCGGGTCCCGGCCAAGCCCCAGTGATCCAAGATGGCGGCCTATTCAAATGAACGACTTGTGCTCAGTAGTTCATGGGACTTCATGGAGACCGGGAGATTAGCTGAACTCGCCTATATTTGGGCATTGTCTGGTCCTCCCGGTTCTGCGCCGTGGATGAACTCCCATGATGCGTTGAGCCAAATACGCGTGTGTGGCTCTCACGCACGTGCACAAAGGGGCTCGGCCAAGCTCAGACCAATCAGAGCCGTTCATCAGAGCGGCGTCAGAGCGGGAAGGCAGGGAGCAGAGTTTGTGGCAGTAAAGTGTGGATTTAAAGAAAACAGAAGGATTTAAGAAGAAAAAAAGTTCAGGATGACAAGGGACACTAAAATCCCCACAAAATCTGATCTTTATGAAAGCTGTAGGTTCTCTGTCAGGTTCTCTGTCAGGTTCTCTGTCAGCTGAGGTCGTGCTGTTTTAGTTTGCATTGAGTTCTATGGGACTTTTTTCTGGGTAGCCCTCATGAATTTAGTCTGCAGTACCACAGCGCCCCCTGTGGCCGTGGGTGGGACAGCTCTAAGACAGTAATACCCTATCCAGTTTTTATTATAGATCCATGGTCCCGGCTCAGACATGTCCAAAATGACGTGCGCTGACATGCTGCAATACCACCCCGGGCCTGTGGGGGTGGACCCAGAATAAGAATCAAAGTTTGAAGGCACTCGTCAGATGCGGTTTTTTCTCAGCCAACGCGGCCATTTTGAAACGGTCCATAGAAGCCAAAAGTGGTGGCACATTAGTTTCAACCTGAGAGACAGGCATGGCTACGTCCGTTAATATTTACAGTCTATGATTCAAACACAAGAAATGCGACGATAGAAACCACAGATGTCAGTAAATGTTGATAAAGTTTATAAATGTTGTTGAAAGTGGAGTGTCCTGGACCATCACCGTCCTCAGACCCTCAGAACAAGAAGCTGGGCCAAAAGTAAGTCACTTTTATTCATATAGCGCCTTTCACAGACCAGAGTCACAAACCAGAGCAGCTGTAGGTTTCCTCCAGGTGCTAAGGGAAACCGGAGCACCTGGAGGAAACCTACGCTGACACAGGGAGAACATGCAAAATCCACAGAGAGTATCATCACCCTCCTCCACGATTTACAGTCAGAACTACTGCACATGTTTTTAGTGATGGGTAACTGGAGCACCTGGAGGAAACCTACGCTGACACAGGGAGAACATGCATCATTATGTGTGTAGTGTGTGTGTTTACAGCCGCGTGTGTTTGAAACAAGTGTGTGTTCTATTTATGTTCTGCTGCTGCTGCGGAGGTGAAGTGAGGTGAGGCGTGCAGATGGAGGCAGCAGCACAAACACACACTTATACACACACAAACACACACTTATACACACACAGACAGACCACAGAAACACACACACAAACACACATATACACACACGAACACACACCACACACACAGACAGACCAGACACACACAGGCACACAGAAACACACACACAAACACACATATACACACAAGAAGACACACCACACACACACAGACAGACCAGACACATACAGGCCCACGGACACACACAAACACATATACAAACACACACAGGCACACAAGAGCACACACACATCCACAAAAGACGCAGGCAAAAACAATAGTAAACACACACAGATTCACACACACACAGTACACACACACACAAACACAGTACACAAAAACACACACACTCACACAGTACACACACACACACAGTACACACACACACACACACACACAAACACACTCACATAAACATACACACACACACAGTACACAAAAACACACACACACACACACACACTCACACAGTACACACAGTAAACACACACACACACACTCACACAGTACACACACACAGTACACACACACACAGGCCACACAAACACACACACACACTCACACACACTCACACAGTACACACACACAGTACACACACACACAGGCCACACAAACACACACACACGAGTGTCGGGTTGAATTTGCAGGACTGCTCTGATTCTTTGGAGCGTCTCTCGCTGCAGAAGGATTTCAGATTTTAGTTTTAATTTGACGTCAGTAAAAAGACAATATCCATCCATCCATCCATTTTCTTCCGCTTTATCCGTTGCCGGGTCGCGGGGGCAGCAGTCTAAGCAGAGACGCCCAGACTTCCCTATACACACACACTTCCTCCAGCTCGTCCGGGGGGACCCCAAGGCGTTCCCAGGCCAGCTGAGAGACATAGTCCCTCCAGCGTGTCCTGGGTCTTCCGCGGGGCCTCCTCCCGGTGGGGCGTGCCCGGAACACCTCCCCAGGGAGGCGTCCAGGAAGCATCCGGAACAGATGCCCGAGCCACCTCAACTGGTTCCTCTCGACGTGGAGAAGCAGCGGTTCTACTCCGAGCTCCTCCCGTGTGACTGAGCTCCTCACCCTATCTCTAAGGGAGCGCCCAGCTAGAGCCCTGCACGGGCCTATTATCTGGGCCCGAGCCCGGCCCTGGCCCGAGGGGGTGGCGCCCCAGCCCGGCCCGGCCCGATATGGTTTCTGAATTTTCAGGCCCGAAACCCGCATCAAGCCCGCCTTTTTTTTTTTTTTGTAACCTCCCATAACAATGTTTTAGCGTAGTATATAGTGCCGCGCACTGATATGAACGCAGACTTAGCTAGAGGGCGGAGTTATACATGGTAGTGATGTGTTGCAATGAGTTTTGTGTGTGCGGAGTGGTGCAGAGTGAACGGCCGCATCTGTATGATGCCCCCGATGCTGCAACACATCTGCACATTACATAAGTAATGCTATGTGCCGTCAATGACAACACTACACAGAACAACAAACACTACAGCGTGATAGAACGCTATATTCAGTGGGTGCGCTCGTAAATGTATTCTGCCGCCCTGAAAATGAAGAGCCCGAGCCCGGCCCGTGTCCGAGGTCATTATGCGGTCATCGGCCCGAAGCCCGGCCCTCGGGCTGTCGGGCCGTCGGGGCCCTCGGGCCAAGGGCTCAAGTGCAGGGCTCTACGCCCAGCCACTCTGCGGAAGAAGCTCATTTCGACCGCTTGTATCCGCAATCTCGTTCTTTCGGTCATTACCCAAAGCTCATGACCATAGGTGAGGGAGGGAACGAAGATCCATCCATCCATCCATCCATTTTCTTCCGCTTTATCCGTTGCCGGGTCGCGGGGGCAGCAGTCTAAGCAGAGACGCCCAGACTTCCCTATCCACACACACCTCCTCCAGCTCGTCCGGGGGGACCCCAAGGCGTTCCCAGGCCAGCTGAGAGACATAGTCTCTCCAGCGTGTCCTGGGTCTTCCCCGGGGCCTCCTCCCGGTGGGACGTGCCCGGAACACCTCCCCAGGAAGGCGTCCACGAGGCATCCTGAACAGATGCCCGAGCCACCTCAACTGGTTCCTCTCGACGTGGAGAAGCAGCGGCTCTACTCCGAGCTCCTCCCGTGTGACCGAGCTCCTCACCCTATCTCTAAGGGAGCGCCCAGCCACTCTGCGGAGGAAGCTCATTTCGAC